GCAGTGGAGGAAGTGAATGAAGCCAGTCTGTGCTGATAAGGCTTCCAAATTAAAATAAATTTGTCTGACAAAGCAGCAGCTCTCATTTACAGTCGTCTCATTCGGCTCGGTATGTTTCTCCTCTCAGTAGGGTTGTTTACAGCACACGCGATTTCCGGTTAGCTTCTTAGCTTAGCCTCCGTCACAGTGAAATACATCGCAGCCAACTGATCCACTCATTTTAAACTTCAGCAGAGGCCACGCCTCCTGCAAGAAACACTTCTCTATTCAGCAAGTCCAGACCCTTGTACGAAGCAAAGTGAAGGACAGGGTCTGGTTTAAACCAGGCTAGGCCAACTGTTTAACAGACATTTCTCTGGACCTATCAGAGGAGCAGCTTTCACTTTAAACACACTAGACAGGCCTACTAGCCAATCAGAAATCAGATGGCAGGGGGACTTGGATATTTTTTCTACTGAAGTGATAAAAAAAAACATAAAAACCTTCATAATGTGCATGTTAATGCTTGGTGATAAAGGCCCTGTCACACTAGACAATTTATGAAACATTTTTATGTCTAAATTGCTAATAAAAGTTATGTATTTGATCTATTTGTTAGAATTCCATTGTGTACACAGAAAATAAGCTTCCTGTTGATTTTTTTTTTCAATTCCAGCTTCAACATAGACATCTTTAAAATGTTCATAAGTTGGCATAAGTTGTCTGGTGTGACGGGGCCTTAAAGGTTGACACTGGAACTGTGATTTTCCAGTTGCGTTGTTAAATTCAAAATAATATTTAAATTAATATATCACAGGTAATCCTCTGCTCAGCACAAAAGGAGTCCTCCACACACACACACACACATCAAAGACATTTTCTGTTACTTTAGTCGTACTTACATGTTGGATGATCAAAAATAAAAGACTTATGTCTTGAATGTCTTGAAGTTTGTCTCCAGGCTGCTACACTGATCTGGTACCTTGCACACAGATTTGGACCAACACTGTGGCAGTTATGTGTTAAACACAAATCTTCTGTTTTTTACAGTTTAAAGCTAGAAAGAAAATCCAACATTTTATCAACAACAATGATGGGAGTTCTCAAGTGTTACTCAGTTTGTAGAAATGAAAGCGTCTCACATGAACTATTTAACTGTTGTTTGTTCCCAGTCTAAATAAACCTTGATTCATCCCTGGTCTTCGCAGGCATCAGAGAACTTCATCTACTCCTGCGCCGGCTGCTGCGTTGCAACCTACGTTCTCGGCATCTGTGATCGCCATAACGACAACATCATGCTGCGCTCCACTGGTCACATGTTCCACATCGACTTCGGCAAGTTCCTGGGTCACGCCCAGATGTTTGGTAGCTTTAAAAGGTAACGATGACATCATTTATGGTTTGATATCAGTGTAGGTGAAAGGTCTGACTTCCTGATGATGGTGAAAGAAAACATGATTTACAGCATAATTAAAAAGAAAAAGAAAGTTTATTAACTTTAATTGTCCGGGAAATTATGTCTCTGCATTTTTCCCAGTGCACACATGTGGAACAACAGGCTACCATTTAAGGCAGCTGGGGGGGGTTAAGGGCCTTGCTTAAGGGCCAGAGTGGTGCAAAGGAGAATTCTTCACCCACATTTTTGTTGTCTTTGTGGGGAGTTGAACCGGCAACCTTCCAATCACATGCTCATTTAACTTATCTTACATTATCTATTCAGATTTATCAAAGCGTTGTACTTTTTGCTCCATCTTTAACATTTCATAAATGTTCACGTGCTTAAATAATTTGTTTTTGTTCAAGTTTTATGTAATTTAAATTCACCCTCAGAATAAAGAACACCACGAATGTAAATGTCTCCATCAAACATTTTCCAGGGATGCATGATACACTGCTCAAAAAAATAAAGGGAACACTTAAACAACGCACGCTAACTCCCGATCTTAATCAACGAAATATTTGCATTGAGTACTTTGTTCTGTACAGAGTTGAATGTGCTTCACAAAAGTTTGATTTACTTGGACTTAGCGTGCGTTGTTTTAAGTGTTACCTTTATTTTTTTGAGCAGTGTATATTAGCATTAACATTGTTATCAATCTGATAAGTTAAACTGGGTCGATATTAATGTCTGATATTAATTTTCCACTTTCTAGCTTTGTGTTTTGAGAGGAGAGATGGTTGGTCAAGTGTTATCTGTTTGATCATGATAGTGTTAGTGATGCTGCACAGCCAGGAATAACTGAAGTAGAGAGATGTGTCAGAGGTCTGATTGTTTGTTTACGGTATCAAAAAAGACACAAGTGTGTTTGTGAGTATATGTATATAAATAATGTGTGTGTTTGTGTAATACCAGTAGCTGTGTTTCCATTGACCATGAAAATGCGCAAGTTAGAATTTCAAAAATAAATTTGCTCAAAGGAAACCACGTCGATTTCGAAAAAACTTAATTTTTTCGACAAAATGTTTTTGCGCTAGGATGAGGTGGTTTTTCAGTCGTATTGAAATTGGTGTATTTTGCAAAACTGCAATGGAAACACTTTTTTCGCATCACGGGAATCACGTGATCAAGAACCGGCTGTTTCGACCACTGGCAAAAAAGACAAAGAAAAATAAGACAACATGAAGTAGAAGTAATAGTAAAATCACCCAATTTGTAAAAGAAAGTATTAAACTCACAAACTACATTTTTCCAAAAACACTGCATACTTAGCCACTCCCAAGTATAAGGGGCTTGTTGCTCGAAAGCCTCAATAAGACGCCGACGTCTCCTCTGATGATGAGCACTAGTGCCATGGTAGCAACATGCTATGTTTTTACATCCATTTCCGCCATGTTTGTAATGACTTATCGCGAGAACAAACATATTCATGCGTGACTTTAATAGCATTTCTTACCTAATGGAAACACCTCAATTGTGAAACTGTGTTTTTTCGACATTAACAGAATATCAACAGAGTTTTGCGCACATTTGCAATGGAAACGCAGCTAGTAATTATCAGTTATCAGCCATAACAGCAATAATTATATTGGATATCTATCAGCTGAAATTTCATATTGGTGCATCCCTTTTATTTTTATTTTTTATCTATCATTTATTTATGCAGGAAAATCTCTTGAGACTCATTGTCTCGTTTTACAAGAGAGGTCCCTAACATTTGCATAAAGTTTTGTGTGGTGCAGAGCAGAATAGTTTATGTATTAAGTAGGTTTATTATTTAAACTTCAGCATGGTGTAATTCTTAGACACTCAAACAATCCTCTCTTCTTTTTTGGGTCACAGACTCTCAGGTGTAGTAAGCATGATAATTTTTTTTAATGTGGCCTGTTTTTTTTTTTCAAACAGAAACATTACTCTAAGTACTTTTTGTCTTTGAAGAAAAGAATTACATTAGCTTTTTTTGTTCTTAGTTTTTTCAAACATGGTCTCTTCACTAATTCACTGTAAGACGCACGTTTTAAACCTTCATCCTTCTCCTCCTCCTCCTCCTGTCTCGTCAGAGACAGAGCTCCGTTTGTTTTGACCTCTGACATGGCGTATGTCATCAACGGAGGCGAACGTCCGACCAGTCGCTTCCAGCTGTTTGTAGATCTCTGCTGCCAGGCCTACAACCTCATCCGCAAGAACTCTGGGCTTTTCCTCAACCTGCTGTCTCTGGTGAGGCAGACCATACACACACACACACACACACACACACACACACACACACACACGTTGTGTGTACACACATAGCAGGGATACGTAGGGCAGCCCTAGTTGTTGTACATATAAATAGAAGATAAAATGAGTTTGAATCAAAACATGCATTTTTAAATATTCTCAGATGTCTGAGTTGTGTATGTGGAGTTGTACGAAGAGACTTTTGTTCTGCTGCTTAAGCTGTTTTTTAACCTTCTTTATAAAGTGTCTAGTCTGCTTTATTTTGCACCTGCAGGAACCAGAGGAACAAACATACAACCCAGAAGGAGTTGCCTTTTTTATAACATAATAAATCATTGCTTCCCTGCTGTCCTAGAAAAGTCTGTCTGTAGAACTCACTGCAATACAGATGGATTTTAGATATTGTTTTTGAAAATAATCACTTGTTTAAGTGTATTTGCAAAGAGAAGAGTATTCACTTTGTTGTCCGTTGCATTGGATTGAGAAATGTAATTCTCTTAAATTCCATTCAACACAAAACAAAACTCTACCAACTGTATAAATATTCACCTAAAAATTGACCTAAAAATCGTTGGGTGTACATCTATAAGCAAATAACTTTTACAAGTACAACATCGACATTAGCCAACAGAATTCACCCAGTTTTGCGGTTATTGAATTTAAATTTGGTATACTTGTAGCTGAGAGCAATTCCCAGCACATACTCTGACCCCGGATTTACACTGCGTCCGCTCTGCCCTGTTCCGGTGCAAAGCACAGAGGTGCTCTGAGAAACGTGTGCGGGAAAGTTAATATAAGTTGTAATTATGAATGTTTTTTTTTAGATGTAAGAGGGGTGGGTGTAAAAAATAAGTTTATACTTCTACCCACTCCTTTGAACGTGTAAATATAATTCATTATTATTGTTCTTGTTTTTTGTTTGTTTTTTGTTTTAAATTAATTTTTCTTTTGTATATAACTTTGTTTATTCTTTTAAATTCATTACYTTCAATAAAGTCTAAACTAAACTAAACTAAATGGGAGGTGATGCAGTAAAGTCAGTGATAAAGGTGACATCGGACCAAATGAATTCCTTCTGTGGAAGACGGACTGGAAACAACAGTTGGAACTTAATCACTGTTGTCTTTTTTTTGCCTCTATATTTCAAAATAAAATCCACATGATTTGTATGTATGCATATGCTGCATGTTGCAATCTGCTTCCCAAACAGGATGATAAATTTTGACAGCATGCATGTATAAAATACACACATAAATTTATTAATATATAGCTAAGATTTTGACAAAAATGTAGCCTGTCTTTGCTGAATTATTTTGAAAATATGGATGTTGTGCACGTTCCTTTTCCTGTGGGTGTGTTTTGATCTTTATAGATCGACTCTGCACTCGCTTTGCTGTCTGTCAAATATAGGGTTGAAGCTAATTTTGGCGTGTTGCTGTGCGCACGCCGCTTCCCTACGGATGCGGTGTAAATTCTATCATTGTAAATGGGTGCGTTTTTACTGTGGAGGTTGTGCTTTACAGTGTAAACAGGGCTTTAGTATTGACTTATGTTTTTGTGAAATTTTGAACAACTCCAGAACCAGTGGCAGATGCTGGTCTTTCAAGAAGAGGAAGCTCAGTTTCGGCCTACATCATAAAATGTGTAAATTCTACCCTCCGTTTCTTTTCAAGAAAACGATCTGTGGCCCTTTCACAGATCATTTTGTTTAGTTTATAGTATTTATTCATTTCATTTTTAAAAACAAAACATTACATACAACAAAACAATACAAATAAAATAAAATTAAAGGCAGCAGAAGAAGAAAAATATGTCATTGTCTGTATTCATTTTCCTTGGTTTTCCTAGTGTTTCTATGTTCCCCAGTGTGTCTC